GGTTGGATCCAACCAGCCGGAATCGAACCAGCGACCCTCAGATAATTGCTTTTTACCACTACAGTCTGATGCTCTACCAATTGAGCTATGGTTGGTTGGTCCACAGGGAGCGCCATTGGCTCTTGAAGGCCAAGAAAGGTCGGGATTTCTTGAGCATCGAGCATGCCCAGCCACACACACACACACACACACACACACACACACACACACGCACGCGCACGCGCGCGCGCAAAGAAGAAGAAGAAGAAGAAGAAGAAGGAGATGATGATAACGAAGATGAAGAAGAAAGGGACGACTGGCAAACGAAGAACCGGGCGGGGAAAAACACTTGTTTGAAAAAAGACAGGGGACCGTGCAGACATGCAGCTCGCCCGCGTTACACGCGCAACTCGGAGATCAGACGCTCCTCGGCCAAACGGCGCTCCACCCGGCGAATCACCTCCTCGGAGTAGAGGCCACCGAAACGGGCCACCGCCGCCTCGGGGACCGACTGCCCGGCCGCCAGGGCCGCTGCCTCGGCCGCCGGCGCATCCTCCGCAAAGTATCGATCATGCGCGTCCGCCTCCTCCTGGGTCATGATCACCAGGTTGTCCACGCTGCTTCGGAGCTCCCGACGCCAGCGGACCAGCGTCGGCCGGACGGGCGACCCGCTGACCGCCGACCGGCAACACCACACCTCATCCACCAGGTACCCGGTGTCCGAGTGGACAAGTGGCATGTGGCGGGGGCTGCCAAGTGCCGGCATCCGATAAGCCAAGAGACGAAGCCCCGGGAGGCCATGACAAACAGCAGAGCATTAGACCGGGCACGCTCTCATGGGACATGTTGGTGGACATCCTGGCGATCGCCCGTTGCCAGCCCCCCCCCTCATGACAACGTACTCATCATTGTAGACATTCCGGTCGCGCATCTTCAGCTTCTGATGGATCTTCTCATTGAGCTCCTGCCGGCCACGCACGGCGATCTGTCGCGGGGGGGCCACACCAGACAGACACTGCAGCACGAAAGTGGCCATTGCATTGCCGAACATCGCCGGCAGAGTGCCTGGTTGAAGAGAGGGAGGCCCAATATGCGTGTGAGATACAGAGAGAGAGAGAGAGAGAGAGAGCGCGATCAAGGGAAAGGCGCAGATCGCGAGAGGGAAGGGGAGACGCACCCAACACCGGCAGGATGCGCACACGGAAGTCCGGGATCATCTGGTACTCCTGCGCGGCAGCCTTGACCTCACTGCCCGGGGCCGGCGCATCGCTGGCCGACAGCCGGCTTACCGGGGCCTCCGGCGCCATCAGCTTTTCATCCAGCGGCAGGAGGTTGCGGTCGGTGATCTCCGTGGAAAAGACCACCGGGATGCCCTCGGTGATGCCCTCCTTGCGGAGGAGACGCCGCGTCGTGCGGCTGAGCGGGTCATCTGAAGGATTCGACAGTGACCGATGCGGAGGGTGGAGACAGGGGAAAGGTCAGCTGCGCCAGGCCCCCATCAATAAGATAACAAGGAGGGGCCACCACACCGTCGCCCCGCCCGGCGCAAGGAGAGACACGGAAGAGGGGGGGGGGGGGGAGGGGACGCACACGTCGTCTGGGAGATGTCCGCCACCTGGATGGAGCTCGGGTCGCCCTTGGCCCCGGCACCCATGCCACTGATCACCGGGATACCCCGCTCATGGCAGGACTTCAGCAGGTGCACCTTGGTCGAGGTGTTGTCGATGCAGTCCAGCACGAAGGACGGCCCGCCGGACAGGATCTCATCCATGGACTCCGGGGTGTACATCTGCTGCACGGCCTCCACCTGGACGAAGGGGGCCGACCGGCCCAGGTGCGCCTTCAGCACGGCCACCTTGGCCTGGCCAACGTCCGCCCGCTCGGCCACCGCATGGCGGTTCAGCGAGGACAGGGTTACCTGATCGAAGTCCACCAGGCGCAGGCGCTGCACACCGCTGCGCGCCAGCATCATGGCCGCGTGACTGCCCACGCCGCCGACACCAATCACCACCACGAAGGCCGCACGGATGCGAGACATCTGCTCCTCCGTGTAGAAGGCATAATTCCGGGCCAGCTGCTCGCGGATCAGCTCCTCGTCATCCTCGGTGGCAGGCCCGTCGGCCGCGAGGTCACCGCAGGAAGTGGGCTTGGTGGTGGCGGTGCCGGGCGCAGGCACGGGCGCGGCAGGCGCACGCGCCGCCACCAGAGCCGACGCGCTCACCAGGCCCACCGACAAGCCAACAAGTGCTGCGGCAACGACCGGCAGGAGGCGCGAAGAAGAAAGGTCCATCGACATGGCACCGCGATGAAGGGAGGGGGAGGAAGGGGTAAAGCGAACAACAGGGGAGGAGAGGGGGGGGGGCACTGTGGAGAGAGAGAGGAAGAGACAGGACCAAAGGCCGGGCAACCTCGGCCACGCAACACCAGGGACCGTGAAATGGCCTGCATGGGCTGGCCAGCATCCGGCCATTCCCCCCCCCCCTGGCTCCGAGGCCGGTCGTCGTCGCAAGATCTCCCGGCACGGCGAGAGGTGCCAATTTTCCCGACACACGTGATGGAGCCCATGCGTGCTCCGGGCGCGCGTTGAGCGGCCGGCCCCACACCGCGCGCGCGCGCGCCCCCCGCCCCGGCCCTCGCCCCGGCCTGCTGGCCACGCATGCCCTCCCCTCCCGCCGGCTGGTTCTCCCCCGCGTCGCCCTGCCGCAGACGGCAGCGATCCAAGATGCGGGCGGGGGGACGGCAAAAGCCGAGAGAGGCCATGCGCAGCCCCCCCCCCCCCCCATCCCGTCTTTTGTCCGGGGGAGGGAGAAAAACACCCCCGGCCTGGAGGTCAAGTGCACAGGCGCAATGAACATAGCCCCCTCTTTCCCCTTTCCCTC